AACCTAAACACAATGAAATAATCTTAAAAATGGGTGAATGAGAGCCGGGTTTTATGTTCACTAAGCTTAAAAAAAAGCTAACTGTTTCAGGGGCCCCCTGTGGGGACGCGGACAGAGCGGGCCGGCGGACAGGTCCCGTACAGGGGCAGTCCGAAAATAGGGGCTTGTTCAATAATAGGGGCACGGGTTTGTCCGAAAAATTTTGGCCCCCTATTTCGAAACGTTCGATTTCTGATATGTTCAATTTTTGAGGTTTCCCACTTCACCATGGATAGCCATTTAAAGGGGTTTTTCATGTGTTTTGTGTAAAGTATCTCTCAACCGTGGGGTAGTGTAAAAAATTTTACTATTTTTAAGCACATTTTTTTAAAAAAATTTTTAAAAAATTATCAGGGGTCCCGGGCCCCATTTTTTTCCCCCAATGCCAAAAACATTTGGCCCCCCGGGTATTTCGATATTAATCCTTTCCCTGAGAGCTCAAAAAATTCCCCGATAAAATAAAAAACCCGAAATCAATTTTCATATAAGAAAAAGGGAAAATAAAATTTAAATTTCCTTTGCAAGACCCCCAAAAAGGGTATAAAAAAAAAAAATTTTTACACTTTGAAATTTTAATTTAATGAATAAAAAAATTACAATAAAAATTTAAAAATAATTGACATTTACCTTTAATGAAGATCTGGTGTTTATTGTTGGGATGGGAGGGGGGGAAGGTGTTGTTTTTAGAAGGGGAATCCCCCTTCCCCTTTGGACTTTAAAGGGAGCAAGTCCCTTTTCTGAGGTTACTTCCCCTTTTTTTAATGCCACTAGGACCCTTCAAAGTCACTTTATTTCTGTCGCACAACATATTGTCCATAATGGGCCTTTTAAACCCCCTTCCCCCTTTTTTGACATTCCTTTAAAATGTTTTTACAACATTGTTAGTGTAATATCACCCCATGGCTTGCAATAGCGTGTAGGGTGATTGTCATCAAAAAAGGTTTGCACACATTTTTCCTTTTAAAATTTTTGAAGTAGGCAATTCTTTAATTTCTCTATCCCCCCCTTTCCCCCCGAAGCGTTTTCCCCCCAAGTGTGGGGCCCCTTGCTTTGAAGATGAAACAAACACTCCTCATGGTTAGTTTTTCACGTCCTTTTCCCCCACCAACCTTCCACATCCTCCCCCCCCTAAAACCCCCAACCCCAAGGACTTCCCCCCAATTCCCCAATGGATTTCCCCAACGGCATAGGATTCTCAGGGTTGCCTTCCCAAAACCTTCAAAATTCCCTTTTCTACACATTTTGGCCCCCATTTTTTTCCCAAACAGAGTTTTCAAGGTCCTCTTTGTCCCCTCCCTCCCAAGCCGTACCCATAAGGTTTATACAATTGAGGGTATTAAAGTGATCCTTCCAAAAGTTTTTAGAGTAGTTGGTTTCTGTTTGGTTCCCCCTAATAAAGCACCCTTTTTAAAAACATTTTTTGGTTTCTTTTTTTTGAAGTTTGGAAAAAGACCTTCTGGTTTCCAAGGGGTGCAGGAGAGGAGTGGTATTAGGGGGGCAAAAACCCGGGCCTTTAAAGAAAATCTGTTCCCCCCGAAAGTTTCTTTTTGCCAAATCCCCTAGGATACCCGGGGGGCATTTTTTAATACCCGGAAAGGGAAATTAAAAATCCCAATTTCTTTTCAATTAGGTAAATTTTTTACAGTGGGGGGGAAATGCTTGGTGTAACCCGTCATGGGAAAAAGTCCCTAGTGGGCCCAAAGCCCCTTTCTGGTTTTTCCCTCCACAGCACACACAAATTAGCCTTGAGGAAAAATGTTTTTTCCCGAACACCTGGGAGTTTTTTAGGTGATAAAACCAAAAAAGGGTTTACTTTGCAATCACCCCTGCTTGGCACCATGAGAAGATAAGGGCCCGTCTTTTTTAGGGCTTATGGCCTTTAGGCCTTTTCCCCCCCCAAGGTAATGTAGGGGGGCCGCTTGGGATTTTTTTTTCCCAAAAAAAAGGGCCCGTTTTTGTCGCAAAAACACTTGTTCAGGTTTTAGGGCCCTTTACTGTCTGGTTTTAATCCATGAATTCCTTCACATTTTTTTTCAGCCCGGGTTTTTGGTCCAAACTTTTCAGCCCCCACCATGCCTAATCACACTAAGTATGCCCCTCGATTCTTAAATCTTTCAAACCCCAACCCTTTCTTGGGCCCTTAAAAACACTCACATCACCACTAGTTGGGGCCGGGGAAAATTTTTTACCCAAAAGTCATTTCAACTGCCCACCTTTTCACAAATGTGCTTGAGAGATGCTATCCCGCTATTGTTTTTCTTTTATCCACACCGTAACAACCTCAGCATTTTCAACACTTGCGGTTGCTGTTTTCGTAACACAGTTGCACCTTTTGCAAAACAGCTTCCTTGATTGCTGTTCCTGGTAAACTATAGTATGAGAGGGTTGATTGGGGTTTATTATCAACCTAACCAGCCCCGACCCCACTCCACTTTCGTACTTGAAATTATCTCTTTTCTTCTTTCATAAGTCATTAGCGACTTTTTTTCTCAAAAGGTTTGGGGCCTGAAGCTTTCTTGGGGCCCTGGTGCTTTTTTTGCAGAAACAACCCCAAACACAGGTAATAGGATAATAGGGAATGTACTGAATTTTCCTTGATGCGCGCACCGGGCGGGTTTTGTAAACACGGCCACACGGGGCAAGTTAGGCCCATGGAAACGTCTCGTAAAAATTCGATCGAATAGGGTTTTCAATCGAATCCCAAGGGAAATTTTTTTTTTCGATAATTCATCGAATACCGATGCCATCGAATTCCGGGGGGCCCACGTACCACAAAATAGTGTACATTTGGGGCCCCCCCCCTAACCCGGCAATAGTAATCTGGCACAAATTTGGGGCGCAAATTTTCAATATCTGGGGACCCACCAACCTGCCGTACTTGTGCAAAAACTTTCCAATTTCTTTTTCTTATTTTTGTTATAACCTCTCATTTTTAGTCCTGCCAGGGTTCCAATGAAAAAAAGAAATGCTTCTCGTTGTGTAAAGTAATACACCATACATTTCTAAAAGATAAGGTGGGTTTGAGCCACTGTCGGTAGCCATGACTCAGCTCACTTAGATAAAGCTGTGACCAGTAAATTTGGGCCTAATATGAGAGAATAGGGCTGTTGGTAAGGGGGACTATATAAAAAAAAGAATGCAGCACCAGTGCATAATGAAAAAAAAAAGATACTGTGCTTGTGGGGTAACACAGCAACCTTGCATGTATTTTCATATGGTTTTTATGATTGTATTTTTGTTTTTTTCTCATTTGATAGAATAAAAAATAATTTTTAAAAAGGATATATTTTGATTGGTTTTGCACAAAAAACTTAAAAACTGGCTCAAATAGTGGAAAAGTTAAATTTTGATGTTCAAAAGTAAATAAAAGACTCACCGCCAAAAAACGTATCCAACGGCTGGTCTGATACGCAGCCCGGAATGGGTCGACATTATTTATGCAGTTTTTACAATAATGTAGTAGTCTGCTATCAGTAAGTTTCTATTTTTTTTGGGAAAAAAAATTCAAAAAGGAAAGCAAGTCAATATAAAGGGGGCCTGGAAAAATGACTACTGAAAAGAGAAAAGTTATTTTAGTGCAGGAATGTCTGAGTTTTATTTTGGACCCTATTTTTTAAATTGGCATCTTGTGAAAAATTGGCCAAATTTTCGTATTGACCACTTTATTGGGTAGTTTAAATGGGTAAAAGAATGGGTTTTTTGTTCAAATTGCAGAATAGAAGGAATACTAGCAAAATTGCTACGGTTTGCTGATTGGAACAAAGGAAAGAGCCAAAAAAGGGGGTAAAGTGGGTGAAAAACCCAAGCAAATATAGCCCTGGGTTAAGTTTATTCTAACCCCTTTCCACTCTGTAATCGGCAAAACAAATCCACACCCTCAGGCCTAA